GGCATGAGGGATATTTTAGGGTAACAAGAATGTTCTAAAAAACTGGGTTGTGGTAATGATTGCACATCACTATAAATTTACTAAATGTTTTCAAAGTGTACACTTAAAATGGGAATTTATGATGTGTAAATCTGACTGTATTCCTTCTTTATGCATTTTCCTTACAGACCATCATGCAATTCACTTTCATATCTATCAGTTTACTAAATTTGCGTTAGTAAAGTGTGATTCCAAACTGCCAAAGCTATTTGCACTCATCTCTTTATTTTCCATAGTGGTGGTATATTCACAGATTTCTCCTACCCCATCGGCAGCTTGACCCTTCAGTTTCCTTTGTTGGATCTTCTTCCTCATCCTGCCTCTTGCCAGGGTGTTTAATAAATGTCCTCCAGAAGGTCTCATTTGTATATGCCACTAACTTCAACTACAACACATCCAAATTCTAACGTTTTCTCTACCAAAGCAGCTCCTTTTCTCAACTGCCTCATCTATGTCAGTAACTTTCTCCAAGTCATCAGAACTCAGAGTTATTTTTGACTTATCTTCTGTTTAACCCCAAGCTCTAATTATCAAGATTTCTCTACTTATTCCTTAAAAGGTGTCATGTATTTGTGAGCAAATAATCTCAACAGACAATTCACATCACAAGCAGTACAGATATTAAATAAACACATGAAAAATATTCAAACTGGAGTGGTCAAAAGAACAAAATTAAATAATAGGTACTATTTATACCTATTGCCTTAGGAAAAGAAAATTTTCAATGATGCCAAAATTTCAAGGAGCCTGGTTTCCTCATATATTTCTAAAGGGAGTGTAAAATGCCTTCTCAAAGAAGCAGTTTGGTGAAATCTCCGAAAACCGTAAGAATGTTCATATTCTTTGAACTAGTAACCTAATTCCAGATAGATATTTTTAATGAGATGATTCAAAATGATAAGAAGGCTATATCTATAGCTGTTTCTGAAGCACTACTTTATAAATAACAAGCAGTTGGAAAAAAATCTAATTACCCAACAATTTTGGAATGATTAAATAAATTAAAGGACATTAAGCTGGTGAAATATTTACAACCATTAAAACTTGTAACTATTGAGGAAGCCTGCATAGCAACATGAAAAAGTGTTTACCAAGTAGTGCTTAGTGGGTGGTGGTGGGGAAATCAGGACACACAAAACATGTCTACATAGCTATTATAACCATGCAAAAAATAATTTGTGAACCTACAGATAAAACTGGTATGGAACTGAAAATAATCAGTGTATTAAGATAGTAAGGATAAGGCTACTTTTTCTTCTGTTTTTAATTTTCTGTAATATTATTTTCACAACAAACATTTTTCCTCTCAAAATATCACATACACCTATCTATCTGCTCTGCTCCTTTTCTATTCCATCTCCACCTCCCCAATCCATACCACACTCTTTCATGCCTGGTCAATGCCTAAATTGGTCTCCCTTCAACCCACTTAGTGTGCAAATGTTGCCAAGTTATCTAGAGTGCCAAGGCATTTAACTGATCTTTTTAAAATTTTAATTCATTTTATACTAATATATACTACTGTAAAAGTTATACATATTCATGGGGTTCCATGTAATGTCAATACATGTATACACTGTATAATGTTTAAATCAAGGTAATATACCTATCTCTTCAAATACTTATCATTTCTTTATAGTGAAAATTTGGAAAATTCTTTCTTCTAGCTTTTTGAAATGTACAGTTCATTATTGTTGCCTATAGCCACCATACTGTGCAATAGTACCCATTGCTGATTGGTAATTTTTAGCTGTGCCCATATTTATAATCCTAGCTAGTTTTCAAGGTCTACCTATTTTGGCCCATGGCTTCACTAATCACCTTCTTTGTCTACTGTTGTTGCTTTTGGTACACCTGTTCCTCCTCCTCAGCATTGCAACTAACATTTACCTAGGGTTTATGGTGTCAGGTTTTATTCTCAAGGAATAATATATGTTAACTCATTTAATCCTCACAATCTACCTCATGTTACAAATAAGGAAAGAGAGAGAGATGAAAAGGGAAGGTAGGGAGGTAGGGAGGAGCAGGAGGAAAGGAGGCACTTGTCAATCCCACAATTACTAGTGAATAGAAGAACCTGGACTTGAATTCATAGGATTAACTTCAAGGCGCCAGAATTTAACCAGTAGCGTGGATTCCTCCAATATACCCTGTTTAGTTTCCTGTCTAGGCCTTCCCTCCTGTAACTCCCAACATTCAGTCTTCCTATCCTCCAATGAACTTACACAAGCCACAAGAAAACTTGTCATTTATTGGTCCCTTACCACGTGCTAGGTACTTGTTTAAACTCTGTATTTGACAGGGTATTATCTTCTGGTAACCTGTGTAAGTAAAAGCTGGGTTTAAATCTGGGTGTATCTCTACTAGCTGTGAAACCTTGAGTAAATTACTTAGCCTCTCAGAAGCTCAGATTCCAGTGGTGAACCCAGGACCAGCTGCATCAGGACCACCCCAGGGAGCTTGTCAGAAATGCAGATTTTGAACCCCACTACATATACCTACTGAATCAGATTCTCTGGTGGTGAAGTCTGACTAACTCTCCGGGTGTTTCAATAAGCTCTCCTGGTGTTTCTGAGACCTACTGGCCTAATATAATAATAACTACCCACAGAATTGGTGGGAAGATAAAACATAACCTAATATGTGTAACAAGGCTCGGAGTACATAGCTTGTTTCGGAAGTGGCAGTGTATTGTTCCTGCTGTTGAAGTTTGTGTGGGTTATCCTTTCCTGCTCGTGGTGTGGGCAAGCACCATGCTTCCTGCTACTCTTTTGCTAATACCTCCCACTTGGTACAAGAAAAGATAGTATATATGTTAGATTTTTAATAAAGTCTTCCTTCACTGACCAGTCTGTCATAGAACCATTTCAGAGAAGGGGTGTAGTATAGTGTAGTGTCTCTGAAGCTAGACCACCTAGGTCTAGTTCGTACTAGCTGTGGAATTTTAGATAAATAAATGTATGTGTGTATGCAGCAGTCTCTTCTTTTTGTCAAATGGAGAGAAAATAGTACCAAGCCCATAAGTCACAGTGATAAATAACTGCCTGTAAAATGCTTTGAATGGTGCCTGGTACAGAGAACTGAGCTCAAGAAATGTTAGTCACCACTATTGTTCTTGTGTCTTTCCACTCATTCAGAGGTGAATAGGTTCTGTTTCTTCATTTGACAAGTAAACGAGAAATATCTCTGTGCATCAGGCACAGAGAATAAGGCTATGTCCAAGACGTGGTCTCCTCTCTTGAAGGTCTTGATCTAATGCAGGAAATTTAGCAGGCAAGTTAGACTGGAGTAATTTTCCTGAGGTCATAGTGCAAGTCAGTCCAGAGCTGGGCAATCAAGACTATTCATAAAATCCCTACCCAAGCTGTAGACTTCTGAGACATGATGTTGAGGGATCATTTGAAGGGTTTTCTTATGAATCCTAATTGAAGCAAGTATAATGGGAAAAACATGAATTTTGGAGCCAGACGAAACCTGTATCTAAAACCTAGTTCTATCACTTGCAAGCTGTGTGACCTCGGCTAAGTTATATAATCTCTCTGGATTTCATCTACAAAATGGACATCAAAATGAATTGTGAAGAATAAATGAGATTTTCAGGATAGAAAGATCTAGCTCCAGCCTAGTAACTAACACTTAGTAGATGATCCACAAATATAGGTTTCCACCCCTTCCTCATTACCAACCAGAAAAAAGTTTCCCAGATTTGGAGTCAGGGAAAAGCAAGAAAAATTCCCAACTATGCTGTCAAATCACAAGGGATAATGTAGGCATCCTAGAAAGAACCCTGAACTCTTCAGGATTCAGGAAACCCAGATTCTAGTCCTCTTTCTTGGTATCTTCACCGTGGAGAACAAGGACACAATTTGGAGCCTTCTTCCCTGTCCCCTCATTTGTTCCAGAGATTGCATAAAGAACCAATATAATTTAGGGGCCTCTTGTATCATTTGAGCTGAAAAAAAAACTGACTTAAAGATTATATCAGAGAGTCCATAAAAAAAAAATCCAGCCAGGCTGATACAGAGAAACCCAGAAGAAGAAAGTAACTCTGTACATCATGGTCACCTAGGGCAGTAACTTAAGACACCTCATCTTTAGGGAACATGAATGCTGCTGCCATGATCTCCATGTCACAGGGATAGACTGTCCATCCTGCATGTTGTTTCCTTAAGGGCTATGCCCAAGAAGCTTTTTACTTTATTCCAAGCCACATGATATTTATAAGAATGTCCTCGCCTGTCTCCAGCAGTTGTTATCATGGTCTGTCCCCAGACTTTTTTTTTTGCAATAATACACTGAGGATTAAAACCAGGTTCTTTACACTGAGCTAAATCCCTAGCCATTTTTGTTTTGTTTTGTTTTTTTAAATTTTGAGACAGGGTCTCACCAAGTCACTAAGTTGCCTGGGCAGTACTCAAACTTGTGATCTTGTCTCAGCCTTCCAGAGTGGTGGGATTGTCCCTAGATTTTAAATAAGCAGACCTTAAGCACTCAATAAATCATATTAAAAGGAAGGTGGCAGAATCCAATAAGCAGTTATCTCCAACAACTCAGGCAAAGGCACAGCAGTAGCTAGAGAGTACTCCTTCCTTTCTACAAAGTCCAACTTCCCCATGGCCACTGGGAAGGGAGGTATAGCTTATGTTTTCTCATTTCCTTTTCACACAGTCTGGCCCCATATGACCTTTGACTAGTGCAGGGCTGTCCCAGGCCTCTAACCTGATGGGTACAATGTCCCACAATACTGCCTAAGTAGTGTGTATTTCAAAATGTTGTAGCAATCAGTTGGGTCTCTACCCAATTGTCTAGGAGGCAGGCTGGATTACATCTGTGGCACCAAGTCCGTGGTATGGATACCAGACCAGTTTCCTCAAAGGAAACTAAGTCAACTGAAGACCTTAGTAATTTCTATAGAAGCCTCAGAGGCACCAATTTACCCCAACTCCCGAGCCATCACTTACCTCCCTGACTGACCACTCTTCCTGTTTCCTGTTATTGGTTTCCATTTGTCCTCAGGAAATTCCTGCAAAGCAAAGTTCTAATAAGTTAGGGGGCTCTGAACAGCCAGGTATCCAGATGGTTTCAGACATGCCAATCAGGAGCCTGTCTGTCTCTGGCCAGTCCTTGAGCTGGTACCGTCTACACTCCTGGGCAGGCTACAGAAATGTGCCCCTGGAAGGCTGCCTTCCTGCCAGGAAGCCTGCTGTGCTGCTGCAGGCATGCAGAGACCCAGAGGCCCTGGACACTGGTGGACTAGAAAGGCTGTATTTCCCATTTTCCTCGTTCACCTCCCAAACTACTTTCAAAACTAGTTTAACAGGTTTGCTATTTGCTCTAGCTCTTGCCTGCATTAAAGGACAAGGGAAGGAGGTCTTTTTGTTTGTTCTAGTGGATGAACCTGCTCATTCTTCCTACCTCTGCCTGACGAACCAGAAAGCATCTTCTTAGGAGCTCTGACCTTGGGTGGGGGGGCGGGAATGGACAAATCCTTCTGCTGTAGCAATCCTCTCCCAGGGTGGGCAAAAGGAGAGGGCCACAGCAGGCCTGCCTGCACACCCCTGCCCCACAGTGATTCTTCCTCTGCCCACATATGCCGGCAGGAGAATACAAGTACCAGATGCCATGATGTCCACACCACATGAGCAGACTCTCCATCTTGGGAATTTTTTTCCTTAAGGGCTATGCCCATCCAGCAGTTTTCTTTCCAGGCCAAGCCATATGTGCGATTTATAAAATTGTCCCCACCTTCCTGTTCAAGCTCTAAACTGAATGAAAATTTTCCTTTCAGATTCTTTCTGATTTTCTACCCATCACACTACCTAGAGACTCAGAGCTTAGCCCAAAAGGAAAGCACAGTTTTCCCTAAACCTCACTCATCTTCCAAAGTCCATTTCTCCAGTGTTGCTACTATTAGTTCCATTCAAGGTTTTATTATCTTTAGCCCAGTAGAATCTTTTGGGGAATACTTGGTGAAGGAGAATGAACATAAATCTTTGATGTCAGTCATACTAGCTAAGACACTTACTAGTTGTTTGTTGTTGTTATTATTTTTTTACATATTTTGTTGCATGATACTGAGGACTGAAGCCAGAACCTTTTCACTGAGCTGCATCCTCAGCCCTTTAAAAAATTTTTAAAATTTCTGTTAGTACATGTTTGCAGTACATAATGTTTACAATCTTTGTATGGAGTTGATACATGTACACAGCACATCTTAATTCATCCCTTTCCCCATCCCCTCCCCCTCTCATCACTTGATCCCCTTCATATTTGAAGAAGATCAATCTCCTTACTTCTAATTATCTTTTATTTTGCTTTTTATTTATATTTTAGAGACAGGGTTTCACTAAGTCATTATTTTGCCTAGCCTGGGCTCAAACTTGCATTCTTTAGTATTATATGCATGTGCTACCATGCCTGGCCAGCTGTGTCATTTGAGAGTTCTGTTGCCTCCTTGAATCCCAGTTTCCATCTGGCAAATAAGGATTATGCTATTTACTCTTGTTGGGTAGTGAGGAGCAAATGATATGCACTGAGAGAACTCCTTGCACAGTGCTTAGCATAGAGAAAGTTCTGTATGTTAGTAGCCATGGAAAAGGTAAAGTTTATTCCCTGGCTCCAACTTTCACAGGACCACAGTAATTCCTACGTGTATTTGGGACATCAGAGCAGCTCTAGCCACTTGTACTTCAGATTCCACCTCAATGCCCCTATGAGATGCCCCTGCTCACAAAGACACCATAATTGTTTAGCCGCAGTGGGAGCCAGGATTTCCTGGCCATGCCCTGTCTAGCCCTGTGGAAGTGCTCAGAAAATAGCAGTGGCCAAACTAAACAATGGAGTGGGTAGAGGTACCCACTTCTAACTGCCTTTGAATATTTCCAGTTTCACTTTGCTTTTTCCACATAGGCATCTGTAAATTTCCTGTGTCCTTGAACCGAAGAAGCCATTATCCTCAAGGCTGCTAGTCGATGAGGATTATGGGGGAACTTGCTGCCCCAGTGGAAGTGATACTACTAGAAAGCATCCTACCACACTGAGGTGGGTCTGGGCTTTGCTAGAAGCTGCTGGAGAGGTAGTAGAGCAAACTCAGGTGCTTGGCCTCTATAGCTAGAGGGTAAAGCTTCAAAACCTACAAATGCCCTCCAGTAGATGTATGGTCTCAACTTCTCTTTATCTTCATTTCCCCAGCTATATAGCAGAAGATATGTGACCATAAGAGTACATGCTTCTTGATTGCCTGAGAACTCAATGAGTTTATACATCTGATGCACCTAGAGTATACCTGGTGCCCAGTGGACATCCAAATGTCAGTTACTGCTGTGGTATCCAAATACTGTCTCTGCCACTTTTAAGATGTGTGACCACTCTCAGCCTCAGTCTCCCTCACTGTAAACTGAGGTTCCTATTATAATTTATCTCATACAGTGAAATAATCTATGTGTGCAAAAATAGCTGGCATGAAATATAGGGGACAAGAGTGTGTGCTGATTTCAGTCCTAACAGCACTGGAGGAGAAAATTAGCTCCTCAACCTTCTCCAGCAGTGGAAGGAACAGGATCTCAGCCATACTTCAAAAAGCCACTGTCACAGATACCATAGTTATCAGAACTGTTGTATCTGAATCCATACAGCAAGTTTCCCAAAGGTCTTGCAGGGTTAAGGTGGAGGGTAAGGTGATGTAGTTCAGTGCTTGCCCTAGCATGTGTGCTGTGTCTTGGGTTTAATTCCAAGCTCAAAAAGAGGAAAGGAAGGAAGGAAAGGAGGAAGGAAAAAGAAGAGGGAGAGAGAGAGAGAGAAAGAGAGAGAACCTATAGCTAAGATCAAACGTAACACTGAATGATTACAAAGCAACAAAGTCTGTTCTCATCAATTCTGAACATTGCACTGGTAGCCCTAGATAGTGCAATGAAGCTCCCCTCTCTCACAGGAAAGGGTACATAGAGTAGAAAGGAAAACATAAAATTCTTTCTATTCATAGATGACAAGATTGCCTATGTATGTATCTTTTATAATCTACCAAAAAGCTAGAATTAATCAGTGCATTTGGCAAGGTTGCAGGATACCAGGCCAATATACAAAGTTTAACTGTATTTCTACATAGTAATTACAAAGAATTTTAACTTGACATTAAGAAAGCAATACTTTTATAATAGCATCAAAACATGAAATCTTAGGGATAAGTACATCAAAATATGTGTAAGATTTGTATGCTGAAGATTGTAAAATAAACTGCATCTCTCAACATACGTCCAAAGTACTTTGGCATACATATTTAATAGTTTTATATGCATTTACAATATATTTATGGAAAAATTTACTTCCCAGACATGTACAAATATTAAGGGTGCATTTGTTGATTTTGGAAGATACACCTGTGCAGTACTCTTATCAAGCACATGTTTTCATGCCCTTTTCCAGCCAGTCTCTGTGCTGCTTGTCATTGACAAGCACTGAATTTTTTCATAGGTATAGTTATTTTAGATCTTCATATAAAAGGAACTGTAGAGTATGTACTCTTTTCCATAAAGTGGCTTTCACTTCCAAATTTCCTTTTTTCAAATAAAATATATTAAGTAATTTCAAACACTAAGTCATTTCAGAAATGTCTGCCTATGAAACAACAGTTCAATACAAAAATTCATTTCTGGTTTAAGTTCCACAGCCAAAGGTGGGATTGGAATCTGGCAGTGATGGAACAAGGACATAGGGTGTCCTCCCAGAAGTACACTGGGGAAAGGAAGGAGCTTGTGATAGGGTGGTAGGTCATTACCAGGGCATGACAGCAGCCAGTCTAGACCTGGGTCTCCAACAGAAAGGTTGGAGAAGAAGAGAAGGATTTGTCTTTGAAACAAACAAACAAACAAACAAAAAGACAAGTCAGATTTCTGAAATCAAAGTCTAGGGGAATATTTGCAAATAGTTTTTAAACAGGAAATGGAAGACAGTAAGTGCTGGTTCATATTGTGCACTGACCTGGCACTCTATACACAAGAACTCATTTGATCCTCATAATTGATCTGTGAGGCTGCCATGATTCTCAACTTTAGAGATAAGGTAATAAGAATAACTTCTTAGTACTGGCTACTTTATGAGGTAAGTATTTTTTCCTTTAAAGATCATATAATTTCAAATTGTGGTAGTTGAATGCGTAACAGCACTTAGATATCAATTTTATAGTCAGGGTAGAAAACCCAGTTCTGTTCATCTGACAAAACAAAAGTTACTTTTATCTAGTTTAAAGATCCACAGGTGTATTGTAATTTTGGTGACTAAGTGTTCTGCCTAAGATTACCAAGCCACCACTTGGTAGAGACAAAATGATAAGTATTACATTTTCAAATGACTTACCTATCTTCCTCCTCACAAGGAGAATAATGAAACTCAACCCTCCATGGACCAAGTCCTCACCTGCACTGTCAGCTTCCTGGATTTCCAAGTGTTGCCAGATGCCAAGCTGCTCTCCTCGACAGTACTGTGCTGAGGATTATGATAGCAAGCTGCACACCGTATGCATGGGTGGTGGTGGCACCTGCAGTTGTAGCAGTTTGGCATCATATTTCTCTTTAGCAAGCCAGGGCAGATTTCTCCGGAACAATAAACGCAAGGGTCATGGACCATAGCTCCCTGAACACTGCAGGAATAAGAGCAGGTCCTGTGGCAATCAAAATCACTGCAGTGCAGTGGCTTGCAGCATAAAGAATTTTCTAGACCCTTGTTTACAAAGCATTCTGAGTAAGTGGGAGCTTCTGACTGAAGGGGTGACATGGGATGATATGACTGGTCTGTGGCATGACATGGTTGGTCTGTAGAATAATATGATTGGTCAACTGGATGGCACCTCAATTCCCTGTAGCTAGAGCTCACTGACTGGAAGTTTTGGTCTATAGGTTTTGGTCTCTGGGTGAAAGTCTTATTACTATGAGTAGTTAAACCTGGCAAGTGAGATGTGGATAAGGATTTGCTGCTCTCTTCAAAGAACTTTCTTCTGTCTGCAAAGGGCAAAAGGATGGCTTCCTCTCCAGTTTGGGTAATAGAAGCTTTCAATTCCTTGGTGTCACTTGGGCTGGAAGGGCCTTCCATGACTAGTGACACATGTGGCGGTAGGTGATGCTCTGGAGACCATCTTCGATGACCTCTACGGACTCCATGGTAAGCATGTCCTTTCTCAGAGTCTGAAGAAGATGGGTCAGATGCTTTCCACCGGGTGTTCAGGCCCACAGAGGACTGGCCAGGCCTCTGGCCAGGGCTTATTTGTCCCTCCAAGCCTGTCCTAGATTCATGGCTCTCAGGCGGTTGACTAAGACACTCTGAAGACCCAGCCCTGAATATCATGCTTTTGTTGAAAAGCTTATCTCTGGGGCTAGGGGATTTTTTATATGAAGAGAGAAGAGGTGAATTAGAGGTTGGAAGTGGAGGACTTTCTGGAAGCTCCTGGGTCTCTTCCACTGGCTCCTGAGTGTCACACAGCTTTGACAAGGGACCCTTGCTCTTTTGAAGCTGGGCCTTCCTCCTCTGAATTTCATTACGCAGATTGGTAGCAAAACGTTCACTCTTCCTTCGATTTTGAATTGAACGACCCCGGGAGCCTCCACTTCGCCTACCACCCATCCGACTATACTCCTTGGGGTCACTGTCTCCTTCCTCCATTACTTCTGTGCTGCCAGCTTCTTTAGTGGTTGAGGAACAGTCTTTGGTTTGTTGAAAGAGAGAACCAGAGGCAGCGGGCTGCTGACTGGCCAAGTCACTGCCTGCTCTACTTGCTCTGTTTGGATCCAGGAAACCTCTTTCTGACAGGCATCCATCAGGCTCTCCATGTGGAGAGCTGCTTTGGCTCTGGAGTCCTGAATTCAAAGGCCTATCATGCATTGGCCTGGTCTTTCTTTCTCTGCTGGGCTGATCCTGGGACCCTCCTGTAGGGGAACATGGGCTTTTCTTCCCTTTGTGGCTGCTGTGCAAAGGGGACAGAGTCCACTGGTGTGTATCCTGCCCAGCTGGGTGTTCCATCCCCTTGCATTCCCTGGGATCCAGGTGCACATGCTGTAGGTGGGATACCAGTAGCTGTTCAGGGGCACTATGGCGATGGCCTGTGGGTCCTGAAAGGTGTAGAGGGCTACCAAAGGAAGGAGCCTCAGTTAGCTCTGCTGGTGTCTCATTGAGCAGGCTGGCATCTCTGCTGGAAGCTTTGTCACACGTTTTGAGAGAAGCCTCCATGAGGAGATGTTCAGAGCCTTGCTGGCTAGATTCTGGAGGCTGATTGAGCTCACAGTTCTGATGGTCCTCGCTTGTCTCATGGTCTTGCCCACTGAGGCAGCAGAACCTGTGAGGGTTCCTTAGGGATAGGACTGTGTCTAACCTTGTTTTCTCCTGTTGCAAGGAGTCTGCAGGCTCAGATGCCCTGCCCTGTTCTCCATTGAGAAGTTGGGCTCTGGAGGCCTGGAGGCTGTCCCGCCTCACTGGAGGTTGCGGTGGGCCCCTGATTATCTTAGCAGGCCCTGAGTGGTGGATCTCCTGGGAGTGGGATGATATCTGAGAGTTGGGGATCAGGTTGCCAGTGTTGGTGTGCTGGCTACTTCCTGAGGTCTCAGACCCATTAGCCCTGGCATTGGAAGCCTTAGCTGACCGTAAACCTTGTGTGATGCACTCTGCAGGGGCTGCCTCCTCTGGCCTGAGGGAAAGAGCACAGTCAGAGGCATTTGAGCTGGCTGAAAAGGAGCTGTATGCTGAGTCACGCTGGTTAGGATACATGTTCTGTTCAATTGGCAAGAGGTGGCCCTCATAAGTGGCTTGGCCTGGTTGCTCCAGGCTCTCCATGCTACCAATGGAGCTGCTTTTCTCAGTGCTGCAGTGCCGGGAGAGAGGACACCACTGCACACACACGTCACTGTAAGACAAGAGGAACACTTGTTAATTAGCCAAGCCACCAGATCCCTTTCACACCTTGGCTAGCCCTACCATGGGAGAAGGCAAAACAACCCAGAGGCACCCATTCCACAAATGTGAGATCAATAAGGCAAGAAAGAGAGAAAGTGTAGTAGGGAAGGAGGTGGATACTGGGGTACTGCAGGGACATGGTAAAATGAGGGGCATAAGACAAAGATTGCAAGTGAAAGAATGCCATGGGGATTATGCACCATTCCCCTGCCATCAACAAGTTTGGAATTGCTTCTGGGCTGTCACTGTCTGCTGGGAATCAGCATGTGGCTCTCTGCCAGCAGAAACAGTCACAGAATATCATTAGACAAGGGTCCTAAAGGGCTGATTCAATTTCAGCCAGATCATTTCATAAATCAGTGGTTCTCAACCTGGAATGTGCATCACCATTACATGGAGGGCTTGTTATAACACAGGCCACCAGGCCTTATCCTAGAGTAGTGATGGTGAATCTTTAGAGCTTTCAATGATTAAAACAGCTCACTATGGCATGTGTGCCATAAGTTCACCACCACTGTCTACAGAGTTTTAGGTCCAGTTGGATCTTGAATATTTGTACTTTTAACAACTTCCCATGTGCTGCTGGATCCAGCTGCTGATCCAAGGCCCCTACTTTTGAAAATCACTGTTGTCAATTAAGTAAGACTTGCAAAAGGAAGGAACTTTGAAGAAGTAATTTTCCCAAGATCACTCGGGTTGAACTAGTGGCACAGGCAGGTTGGGAATTTAGGCGTTCCCCTATTCTATTCTTTTTTATTTTTCTTTCTTTTTTTTTTACTTAAATTATTTTATTGGTACATTTTAGGTATACAACACATTAACATTTCTCATTGGGAACTTGTACCTTTACATGATGCATCTTGGTTCTTATTTTTTTCCCCATTCCTAGCCCTTCCTTCACCTCCTCCACCCTTTCTGATTTACAAAGACTTTGTTTCCATTTTTTCCATTTCTCATCATTTTTCCTTCCCCTTCTTTCCTTTCCCCTGCCCCTCCCACTACCCCTACCCCTTTGGACCTTTTCTTCCTATTTTGCATTATCGATTATTCATTCTAATCATTGGTACATTTTAGGTATACAATATAATGACATTCATCATTGGAAATTTGCACCTTTACATAATCTCTCTTGGTTCTTATTTTTCACCCTTGCCCAGCCCTCCCTTCAACCCCTCCATTCCTCCCTATTTACAAAGATTTTGTTCCTATTTTTCCATTTTCTCATATTAATTCCATTCCCTTCTTTCCTATCCCCTACCCCTCCCACTTCCTTCCCCTTTGGTCTTTTTCTTCCTATTTCACATTACCTATTATACGTTTTAGTCCTTATTTACACTTTCAGTTTCTCACACCTGAGAAACTATTTGGTATTTATACATGTGTGTCATATTTATTTCACTTAAGAGTATCGCCTCAATGTGCATCCATTTAGCTATAAATGTCTCTAATTTCTCATTCAAATCTATAAAAAACTTAAAAAGATCAGACCTCCCAAATTTAAAGACCCAAATGGGATCTCTTCTTATTAAAAGGCTTCTGCACAGCAAGAGAAACCACCAGCAGTGTGAAGAGACAACCCATAATGTGGGAAAAATTCTTCACCTGCTCTTCCTCAGACAAAGGTCTACTATCTTGAATCTATAAAGAACTTAAAAAGATCAGACCTCCCAAATTTAAAGACTCAATCCAAAAATGGGCATCTGAAATGAACAGACATTTCTCACACAAAGAAGTAGAAATACCAAATAAATACATGAAAAAATGTTCAACATCACTGGTCATTCAAGAGATGCAAATGAAAACAACGCTGAGATTCCACCTCACTCTAGAAAGAATGGCTGCTATCATGAAATCAACCAATAACAAATGCTGGCAGGGCTGTGGGGAAAGAGGAACCCTGCTCCACTGCTGGTGGGAGTGTAGACTGGTACAAGCACTGTGGAAATCAGTATGGAGATACCTCAAAGAACTAGGACTGGAAATCCCATTTGACCCCACTATTCCCCTGCTGGGGATCTTCCCCAAATAATTAAAAGAATCATATCACAGTGATATATGTGCACCCATGTTCATAGCAGCACAGTTTGTGATAGCTAAAACTTGGAAACAGCCCAAATGCCCATTAACTGGAGACTGGATAAAGAAAATATGGGGTTTTTTTCTGTTCTTTTCTTAGAGCCTTGAGCATGCCAAGTAAGTGCTCTACCTCTGAGCTACACCCCCAGCCCTCCCCCAATTTTCCTTGATAATAGCCATCCTGATTATTTACGGAAAACTGACAATGTGGCTGGAACTTTACCTAGGAGGGGAGATCATTATTGCCACTGAACAACTGAGAATACTGAAGCTTAGAGAGGTAAAAATCAACTGAAAAGTTCACTATTATGCTAAAGAAGCAGAGCTGGAATTCAAACACAGGCCTTCATGAGTTCACTATTTTCTCTTTTCTGATACCATCTTTTAAATGGGAATAATAGTGAAACCTGTGTCAGAGAGTTTCTGTGGTGATAAAATCAGATAATACATGTAGAGCCCTTGTCACAGCCTAGGCATCTAGCCAGGCCACATGGTAGTGGCCACTCTCTTGACTGTTGTTAGTATTATCAGCATCAGTATTGACTACCAATATTGATATTACAGTGGCCTCTGCCCACACATGCATCCTACATCCCCCACAGCAAAGGCCAACCAGGGAGACAAACAGCAGATGCAATGTCGAATTTTAAGTACCATTTCAGTGACCCCCTCTGATTGAAACTCCAAAGGTTGCAGGCTGCTTTCAAAAAGGCCATAGTCCAGAAAGCCACAGCTGAGCCACAGCTGAAGGCCCTCCAGACCTTCAGGTCAGCATCCCTTAATTCTTGCTCCCTGCCTTTCCCCTTAGCCACTCTGCTCACTTGTGTTCTGGACTAAGAATCCACCAACAGCTTGTTGGCAAGAGAACCTGCTACTCACTCTACCACCCTTCCTGCTGGAAAAAATTTTTTAAAAAAAGGAACACTCAACCTCCACTCAAATAGGAGCCCAGCTCAGAATGTGTTTCTGTGTATTCTTCTAGGACAAAACCACCTCTCCCTAAGTCTCTGGCATCCAATGCCAAATAAAGTCACTGAGTCAGAGCAAACTCAACCCTTAGTTTCCCTAAGTCTCTGGCATAGAAATCCCTTCTTGGAGGGAGGATCTGGTTGTGGAAAGGAAAAGGCAGCCAAGGGCAGCACATTGGTTGGTTCTGAGCTTCTCAAAAATGTTGTCTACCACTCAGATAGCTGTTTCAACAAGAGATAACATTGATGTCCCTGAGTAGAGTGATCTTCTTTGCAGGTAGACCCTGTTCTTCATGGAGGTCTCCGTTTTAGAAGCTTTGGCCCTGTAATAGAGCTGATAAACACTGGATGAAGTTCCCAGTGATTGCTGGAGACAGAAGACACAGCCAAAATGAAACCCTGGCAGTTCTCTTATATTAATAGAGCAGGGATATGCAAAGGATCAGGAAAAGAGACTGAGAAAGACCAGCTAGTGAAACAGGAAGAGAAGTAGGACAGTGTGGTGTACTGTAAGCCAAATGAGGTATTTCAAGAAAACACTGTCCACAACAAAAGGGACAGGTCCAGAGTCACAGAGAGTTAGCAGTGGACTAAGACAAGAGCACAGGTAATCTGGACTCCCATGTCATTTTCAGTTCTACCACTCTTAGCTCTAAAACATCCAGCAGGGACGAGGGCAGAGGAGAAGGAGTGGCCAGGCCCTTCAGCTCACCTTGAGCGGAAGGCTCCAGACTTACCCTGTGTTGCAACCTGAATGCCAAGATAAGCTGAAGGCTTCAGAAGGAAAATGCATGGTGGTAGCCGCTTCAGGGCATCCCTCCAGCAGCTTGGACACATGCCATGAGTGCGGTCTACTGACAGGGGCGTTTCTCCTACAACAAGAAAGGGACAGGAAGTTAGTTTAAGGAACCAAGGCTGAAATCACTTCCCAGGCAGCTTCCGCTCCCACCCCTTCTTTCCCTTCAATGAGGTAGAACATCTTGCAAGGAACTGGTGTGGGAATCTGAGGACCCCCCTCAGCTCCCAGTACTCAGGTCTCCTTCATCCTACAGAGCGATCCCTGGAGATACAGAACACCAGCTTCACAGGGCTATTTTCTTCATAGGAGTATCCTTATAATAATGCTAGACACATAGTAGATGTCAGTAAATATTTGTGGAATAAAAGAGAGCTGCTGACCAATGAATACCGAGCCTACCTTCACTTCTGCTTGAGGAAAAAAAAATTAATTTTGCAAATTTCCAATTTTTCCTTGTGAAAGGAAGGCAGAAGTGACTGAACAAGTCAACACTGGGCTGTAAAATCTCTAATTTTTACACATTCATTCAATAGGCATTTGCTGTACTTGTACTGGGTACCATATACATGTAGCTCTGGGGTACTGACATGAACCAAAAACAATCTGGGCTTGAGGACTTACAGATTCATTACAGGGACAGGGTTAATCCAAGTAAAGCATGGTAAAGGCACTGAGAGAGTGAAGGACAAGTTGAGCGTGCAGGTGAGACACTTGAGTTTGTAGCCAGCGTGGTATCAGGGAGTCCTAACTTATATGAGGGGAAAAAGAACAAAGTGATGAATGGCACAGTGCTAGGCTTACAGGGAGACTGGCTGCAAATCAGGTCGGGAGTGAATACAGAGAAATAGATCTGAGGCCAAGTCCCCCAGTGCACACTGGTGTTGGAGGCTCTGGCCACAACTCTTGCACTGACTGGCTCATACAGGTTCCATCTCTGTCCCCAAGCATGATTCACACAAATAGATGCCACTCTTACAAGTGGGGAAGGGCACAGGTAATGGGGATGCAAGGGGATAAAGAAATGACCGATGGAACAGAGAATAGAGGGAGAGGGGAAGAAGAAGAATGATAAGAGAGGCAGAAAGAGTATAAAGATAATGAAGAGACGGGGAGTAAAAGACAGGGAGAGTGAGAAAGGAAGAGAAGGAGAAGGAAGGAGGGAAAAGCAGGAGAGAGAGGCAAGCAAGCAGATATTACAGATAAGAGAAATGACAGGAGTAAACAAATGACAGAAAAAGAAAACTCTGAGAAATATTGTAGAGAAATATCTAGTACAGTGAATTGGATGATACAGAGATGAATATCAGAGTAAGAGAAACAGGGACTAAGTGGATGATAGATCAATAGATGATAGAATATTTAGTAGTTTATTTCCCATTTTTTACTAATTTATTCACAGTTATTGTACCAGGCTGCATACTAGGCACTGATGATTCAGAGTTGAATAAGATGAAGGTGCCTGTTTTCAACAAGCTTGGTGTACGGTTGGATAAATCAGCTCTCTACTTTCCAGGAGTGGTGGTGGACAGAGTCAAGCTAGGACTCTGTCCTAGCTCGAAATGGCCCCCACCCCAGTGGAAACATAGAAGATCCTAGTGGTACAAGGCTAAGGTCTAAAAAGGAGTTATAAGGTGCATGGGTTTACTAGGGATACAAAGATTGAATGGCAACAGGTCAGACAGATAAGAAGGTACAGGAAGAAGGGTAGGGTTAGCTGCTTGTCAACAGTCAGAGCCATAGATCAGCAGCAGTGGCTAAGAATTATGGGGAGGAAAGCTAGCTGAGGCCCTCACCTTTACAATCACATTGTTGCAATCACGTGAAACTTAAGAGCAGAGAAGGTAAAGGTGAAAGAAAAGAGGAGTTGGGGGCTGCACTTGCTTCAGAATCTCGCATTCAAATCCCTGCCTTGCAGCCCTGAGATCTCTCCAGCTGCTCTTACCTGGTAGTTATGTGCTCAACAACTACTTACAAATGAAGCAACTCCCACTACTAGAGTCCTGTGTACTACTAGCTCTATGGAGCATGTGTATCTACTATACCCTATGCCTCTAGGCATTGAAGCTGACATGGAGACAAGACATCTGTCCTATTTCAGGTTCTTCTTCCACATCCAGGATTCTTAGGTTCTTCTGAGTCCTGGATTTAAAATGTGGGTAATCAGCCTCAATATCATCTTTGCCCCAACGACACAAGGCCACTCTGAGTTGTACTGTTTTCTCTTATGCTATCTTTCTGTTTTTGCTTCTGTCCTGTTCTTTGCCTCTCCTTTTTTCCCTCTCCCTCTTGCACTTCCTCTCTCCCTCTCTCTCCTCACTTTCACTGTGACCCTTGCACAGCATTATACCTCTCTTCCCAGAATCCTCTACCACCACTTCTTGTTCTAGTCTAGGCCTTTGGTATTTTACTTTCAAAATACCTCATCTGCCCTCCAGCCACTCTCTTCTTGTTCCACTTCCAGTCACTGCTTTTAGATCCTATCATATTAAGCACCAACTGAATTGGAAGCACTCTCTTACTTAAGAATCTTCACTGTCTCACTATTTCTTACCCAGCCCTACCTCAAATTTACAGTGGAAAGGCTGCCTCAAAGCCTGCTATAAACTATTTTACCCACCCAGCTCCATCTTTCCATGTCTGCTCCAGTCACATGCTACAGCAGGCTCTCCCCTTTCTGACAGCATTTCCAGCATAGTCTAGCATAGGCTCTGGAATTGGACTACTTTGGTTTGAACACAAACTCTAGCACTTATTAGATTCTGCTGCTTCAGGCAAGTGACTTCATTTCCAGCTGGCTGGATCACATTGTCAAAAAAACCCAACCCAGGGCCGGGGATTTAGCTCAGTGTTTTCCCCACCTGCTGTGCAAGAGCAAGGACCTGAGTTAGATCCCCGGTACCAAAAAAAAAAAAGAACAACATTGTGGGTGTGTCTGGAGACTGGATAAAGAAAATGTGGTTTTTTTTATAAAATGGAGTATTACTCAGCCATAAAAAATGAGAAATTAGAGACATTTATAGCTAAGTGGCTGCACATTGAGGCCATACTCTTAAGTGAAATAAATAGGACACACATGTATAAATACCAAATAGTTTCTCTGGTGTGAGAAACTGAAAGTGTAAATAAGGACTAAAATGTATAATAGGTAATGTGAAATAGGAAGAAAAGGGGCAAAGGGGAAGGAAGTGGGAGGGCTAGGGGAAAGGATAGAAGGCAATGGGATTAATATGAGAAAATGGAAAAATAGGAACAAAATCTTTGTAAATTGGGAGGAATGGAGGGGTTGAAGGGAGGGCTGGGCAAGGGTGAAAAACAAGAACCAAGAGAGATTATGTAAAGGTGCAAATTTCCAATGATGAATGTCATTATATTGTATACCTAAAATGTACCAATGATTAGAATGAATAATTGATAATGCAAAATAGGAAGAAAAGGTCCAAAGGGGTAGGGGTAGTGGGAGGGGCAGGGGAAAGGAAAGAAAGGAGAGGAAAAATGATGAGAAATGGAAAAAATGGAAATAAAGTCTTTGTAAATCGGGAAGGGTGGAGGAGGTGAAGGGAGGGCTAGGAATGGGGAAAAAATAAGAACCAAGATGCATTATGTAAAGGTGCAATTCCCAATGAGAAATGTAAATGTGTTGTATACCTACAATGTACCAATAAAAGAATTTAACAAAAAAAAAAAAACACCCCATAAAACAACAACAAAAAACAAAGACTAAACCCAGCAAGTGCTAAGGTTCCACTCCTTTGCTTCACTTTGAAAGGTAGCTTACAAAGTACCCTTTATCCCTTTCTCTCTCTCTCTCTCTCTCTCTCTCTCTCTCTCTCTCTCTCTCTCTAGGGTTTCTCCAGAAATAGGAAATGATCCTATCCTAAAGGAGACAAAAGGGACACTAGGAGAAAAATGACAGTCTGGGAGGAAGAAAATTCCAACAGATGGAAGTGGAGCCAGAGATGGAGACTTCTAAGTCTAGTTTGGGAAGGGAGAAGAAACTCTAGAGGGTTTCATATTTAGCCTGGTATTATTCCTGAATTGCTCTAGATTTGGAGCCAGTTGACACTTGTACTGAAGTCTTAGCTGTGTTACCTTGGGCAAGTCACTTCTCACTTCTCTGAGTTATAGGTTCTTCTTTTCTTTGGGGTGGGGCTGGGTATGGAATCCCAGCTAGGCAAGACCTCTGCCACTGAGCCACACTGCCCCAGTACAGATGGGGAAAGTGACCATCTCTTTCTTTTAAATTACAGTGTGGATTAAATGTAACCCCATGTGTGAAATCAATTGGCATAGTGCCTGACATAGATATTTTATAAACTTCAAAAAACCCAACAGGAGCCATTTACTGAATGCTTCAGGTGTGCCAGGCACTAAGCATTTTACACGCATTAGCTGCATTAATCCTTACTGCAACCTAATGCACTGAGAGCTATTATTACCTCCACTTTGCAGATGAAGAAACAAAGACAGAGAAAATTTAAGTGATTTGCCAAGAGCACACAGCTAGCAACCAGCTGAGTTAGGGTGATACTCAGATCTCCAACTCTTTCTAGGATACCACATGACACCTCCTCTCTGATGAGGTCTGTCTCAGAAAACATGTGTACCTGAGGCTTGCCATAGCCATTCCCTCAAGAAGCAGTCCAAAAGAGGGTTCTAATAATCCTTGAAACAATCCCATTCTTATGCAGTGTGGAAGAGTGATGATGAGAAATAAATAGATAAATGAAAAAAATTCCAGCCATGATTCAAAGTGTGGAGGCAATGACCCCAGGGCATACCCTTTCTCCTAAGGCTGGCTCAGGTACTATCACTGAACACACAATATTATGTAATTCACTCAAATGCCTTTCTGAGGAAGCAAAAAGTAAAGGACACTGAAGAAAGAAATCAGGAGAGGGAAGAAGGACAGTGGCCATAGCAGTCATGGCTACTGACTGTACCTACCATGGAAGTTGCCCAGGGCGGAGAGATGGATTTGGAGAGAATGAGGTATCCAGCTAGCTCAGACTCTTATCACAACCCCTCCAGCAGTGTCCTCCCTTAACTGGAACCCATCTTCCCTCCAGGTGAGAC